AGAAACCCACATAAGTAAAAGGAAGATTTTCTTCTGTTCTTTAAAGACAGCCCCTATGTTTAGCAAGTGCAGGCCAAGCAAGCGTGCACGCCCCTGACAGCAGAGAGGAAGAAATAGTGCCTTCTGAACAGGAGATTTCTCTAATTACACTGGGGAGGTGATAATGGTAGGTATTGCATGTTTAATGCAGTGTTCTGGATGCCCCTTTCTCTTCTTGTCTTTTATTTCCCCCCTTTACAGAAACCTCAGCCTGAGCAGAAATAAAAGGCTCAAAGCTTGTCGGTGTTAGTTTATAGATAGCTGTTTAAAAATAATGAGATATCGGGTATTGTGAGGCTCAGGGCTGTCTTGCCAGACTCATTTATTTCCATTCACCTTTTGTCAGATGTGCAGACAGAAGCCATTCAATTAAAACGTGTCACCTGTTGCAGGTGACCTAATTTGTACTTGTATGTGTCATAGATTAGGCCTCCATGCTTCACACAAGAAACTTCACCTCGGCTAAGAAAACATTTTCCCTGCTAGACATCTTGTGGATAAGTGATTTCAAACTCATGCCCTTTACAGCTGGGCTTCAATTCAGGGTGTAACTTTGGGGCAAGAGCTCCAGAGCCAGCCAAGAGCTGTTGGCTGTACCTCAGTAATCTAGGGATCAAGGGGCTCCTTTCTGGGGTTTGTCCTATGTGCATTAACCTACATGTGCATGTTGGATGCACATAGAAGGGTGCATGGTTTCCATTGCAAGCTTTTCATTTTAATCATCCAACAGGAAGGGCTGCTCCCTGCTTATTGTTCTGAGAGATTCCCCTTAATGTCTTTTAGTAAATTTTTACTTTGGAGCAGCATAATAAATGTCTTAATTTTAAATTAGGAAAATAGGTGAGGGTATTCTTAATAATTCCCAAAAGGGAAAGAATATATATGAAATCCATCTAACTTTACAATACCAAAAATAGTGTAAGTTGTCTTCGAGCTTGACTATATAATATCGTGAAAATTTGCATTTGGACATAACATGCTGGCTTAGCCTGAGCCCACCCAGGCGACCTTGGCTTTATCCTTTTGCTTTGTTTTGTTTTTTTTTTATTTAATTTTATATAACAAAGTCCAATTAAATGAAAACAAACATTTATACACAATATTTGGGAATTTGGGCGTCGTTCTTTCCAAACTACTTCCTGCTGATAAGGGGCGATGTCTTGGGGGATTCGAAGAAGATTCAGATATCCTAGCTGTAGTCTGTAGGGCTGTTTTGTCCAGCTGTTTGGAATGTAGTCCTTTTGCTTTGTTTAGTGTTTATTCTCTTCACAGCATTTTTCCTCCTTGCTATACTCTTGCTCTTCCCACTTTGTAAATTTCGACAGTGTGTACAATTAGTTACTCCCTGGTGGCATGCAGGCCTGGAAGAGGCCTTGTGAAATATTCTGGTAGGTAGGAAATGCCAACTATTAAAATATTTTATTTATTTATTTATTTATCTATTTATTTTCAAAAAGATAATGCTGGTTTCTGCTTGGCCAAACAATCTAGTCACTTTAATTAATTTCAAAATTCTGTCACACATGCTATTTAATGGGCATCTTATGTTTTTAGAAGCAAAAACACCCCTCATGTTTTAATTTTTTCAAGAGTATTCTATAAGTAGAGTGTAAGGAGAAATTATTTATTTAAAACTATAAAAGTTTAAAGAACAGGCATGGTTATTTTCAGTGGAAAGTTTTGAAGCCGTCAATATTTGGCTCTTACTAACCTAGCTTTCCCAATTACTGATCATAAATATTATTATTTTTCTTCTAAAATGGTTTGAAACTTTTAAACACAGTGGGTTAAGCTGTAATTATTAATTCTCTACTTCATATTGGACAAATTATAGCTGAACTCAAGGAAAACATATTTGTTAATTTAGTTACTGTCTGCTTGTTTTTGTTGAGACTGGGACTCTTGGGACTCACTTTGTTTCCCCGTCTGGGGTATGAATTGGAATTATGTCACAAAAGAAATGAAACCAAAAATTTCAATTCTGTTATTTTTACTCAGATGAATGAGCCCATCAGTTGTAAATAATCTAAGGCAAAGAAGCTATTGCCCCATTGCCAGAGGCTGCTTGGGATCTCGTTTAGCTTTTGTGCTTCTGCCTCTAAGAGTGCTTGTATTATGATCCAGGTGAGAAGGGGCTGGCTCTTCTTGTCAGAGTTTGCTCCTGTATAAAGGAGTAAATTGATGAATGGTGTAGTATAGTGCCAAGATATTTGGAGCTATTGCCGGTTGAATTGTCCTTTAAACCTCCCTGTGAGTGTAGTGAGCTACAGAAAGTCCTCGGGATGACAGTCACTGTCCCTCCAGGGATGCATAAAAGGCAGATTTCCCCAGGTTTGGAAGCAAAGTTAAAAAGCAGCAGTAGATATAGTTTACTTTGTTTGAAATGCTTGAAAAATTTAATATTTGGCTGCTTTTGACTGGAAATGAATTTGCACATGAATACATTATTATGATCTCTTAAAATATTTTATTGACTTCCAAAAATTTTGCTATTAATTGTTATCCAAACTTGGCAGGGACACTGCTCTGCATATCGAGTCTCTGTCAGGTTTTACTATATAGGATTATTAATCTCTTGCTTTATGAGTATCGATATCTAGTCTTTCCCCCTACTGCCATATAAATAAAACTCACAAGTCATAAAAGAATTCTTTGTCCAATTGATTTTCATTTTAGACAATAAAAAGTGATATCTTGGGGTATTTGGGAAGCTCTTGACTGTGAGAGCTGGGTAGATGTGTGGGTCGGTGGATAGATGGCACAGGAAGGATGCATGTTCAGGTTTATGGGTTGAAAACTACTTCCCTACCAAGATGGGACGGGATGGAGATAAGAGTCATGTGGTGCATAGACAGAAAGTCCGTTTCCAAAACTGAAAGAGGGATGCCTAGTAATGGTGGTTATCACACTGCTGAGAGATTGTCTCTACAAATACAAGACGTGACAAACCAGGAAGTGTGTGTGTGTGTGTGTGTGTGTGTGTGTGTGTGTACATGTGAGAATAATCAGTAAACAGTTTTTCAGGACCACATTTTTTCTCATAGATGCAGACAGTTTGGCTAAGAAGGACTCCCATGTAATGTACAAACCACCCAACCACTTGCACATACATAAAAGTGCCTACACAAGATGACTGTACTCAGTGTTTTAATTCAAGGTCCAGTTGGAGGCAATACAGTCACACACCTAGTCATAGCACTGAAAGCCAAGTTCTTGTGTGTGGTACATGCGTGTCCGTATGTTCCTGTGTATGTGCATCCACCTATGTGAATGGGCATTTAGAGGCCAGGAGTCAGTATCCAGTGTGTTGGATCCAAGATTTCTAATTGAACCTGGAGCTCACGACTTGGCTAGGATGGCTGCCCACTGAGCCCCGGGCTCCCCCAGACTCCTGCCTCTGAGCATTGGGGTTACAGGTATGTACTGTCACACTCAGCTTTTCACATGGGGTCTAGGAATCCAACTCAAGCTTTAGCAATAACTATGTTAGTGGCTAAGCCATCTCCCTCGTTCTTGTTAGACAGACTTCATTCTCAGAAAGTGACAAGCTTTGGGCCAGTGAGGCAGTTGAGGTAGTAAAATCACTTGCTACCAAGCCAGACACCCTGAGACCCATGGCCAGGACCCACATGGGGGACGGAGAGAACCAACTCTTGTAAGTTGTCCTTTGAATCCACATTCACACACAAGCACTTTCGTCCTTATAAGGTAAATACATTAAAGCGTCATAGGTTTAAACAATTCTGCAACTATGTGTGCAACTACGTTGGAAATAGAAATTCTCTGATAATCACTGAAAGAATATTCCGGGGCTCATCCAGTAGATCCAAGCAGTCCAAGTTTCTACTGCAGGCTATTTTGCTTTAACAATTTTAGAGATGACTAAAGTGTTCTCTCTCTCTTTCTCTCTCTCTCTCTCTCACTGCTTTCTGCATTCCATAGTCTCCATCCCACCTTCTCTTACTACCTATAATAATAGTAGATTAAATGTTCTCCTGGGTTGAAGTTAGTGGACAGACATCAAGGCTTTCACTAATGTCCTGTGCATCTCAGACGGATTAAAAAGAGACCATCTCACATAAACCTCACATAAATGGGAAAAATCTTGGAGAAAGGTATGAAGAGGAAAGTCATGAGAAGATAAAGCTTAATAAGCATGGAAAGAAGGGAAATGTGGCAAATGTCAGTAAATACTGATACAATCAGAAAGAAAGGATGGAGCGATTAGAAGAATGAAGATAAAATTCTTTGGGTGTGAAGTGCCTTGAAAACTGTCATTAAATATACAGGGTGGAAGGAGAGATAGTTGAGTGGTAGATTTGACATTCTTACCTTCTGGGAAACCCTTTCTATCATGTTTGAATACCCCTGCTTAGTGTTCTCCTTAGTGCACCAACTTGCAGATAACGTTCTCTTTAGGAAATATATTGGCATTGTAATACACAACTATCTTAGTCTGCATCAGTCCCACCTTCCCACACCTGCAGGTAGATGCTCTTTATTACGCTCAGTTCTGTGAATGCAGCAGAGGAGGGTTGCTTGGTTCTGCATCTTTCTGTTGACTGGATCCCACACATGGAGCCTTCTGGAGTGATGGGAGATGAGCTATAGAATACCAGTGTCTATCTAGAGAAACTCTTATACTACAACACGAGAGAAACTTCTGTGAATTGATTTCTATGGATGTGTGCCTTTGCCCTGATGTACAAATGGCAACTTTGATGACTGTAGAAAATGCTCTTTAAGTTTCCTAACCATTGGAAACCATAGTTTCTAAATAGTGACAATTCTTATTTAGCTTTCCTTTCTTTTCTTTTTTTTTCCCCACTTCTCTCTTAACACTGGTCCATTCTCAGTTCCACTGGCTGTCTCCTTAGCACTCCTGGGGGATGCGGTTGATGCATTTGTTTGTTCTGAGGTAACTAACTGAACAGTAAGCCAATGCCTGTCTCTGTCCACAGGGGTGCGTCTTGACAGAGTACGTGGGGGTCGTCAGAAGTACAAGCGCAGAATAGATGCCGAGAACAGCCCATACCTGAATCCTCAGCTGGTGCAGCCAGCCAAAAAGCCATGTGAGTACAACAGATGTGCCTGGCATCCCAGACACAGAATCCACCCAGCTGGCACTGTGAATTCTAATGTTGGCATGCCCATCTCTACTGACTTTAAGGAAACTCCTCTTTATTGGAGAACATGGACTCTACTTTTAGGGATTTTCTGTAAAGAGAATGTCATCTTAGATAATGAACCTTTCCTTTTAAAGATGTCCATGATGATTCTCTACTCTCCCCGTTTGTGCCTCGTCATCTTGTAGAAGCTTAAGCGTGTTAATGCAAAGCTTATATAGTGTGAATTTTACATTTACTGGTTGTCTTTGTTTGCAGAGGTACATAAAATGGATCATACTGTGATCATTAGTTCATTGGAGCCGTTAGTTTCAGATTTCACAAGAAAGTGACTTTTGTAGTTTTCCCTAACTAAATGAGTTCGGCTGCTCAACCTCCCAATGAAAATACATTAGGGGCCTCATTAATTTGGAGCTATATAAGGTTAACACAGTAGCTGGCAATAGATTAAAATGAGAATGGGACCTACTAATAATGAGCATAGGTTGGTGGTTCCATCTCAGGTGCCCTTATGGGCGTTATAAATTGTTTTTAAAGAGCCTGTGATTTTATGATATCAGGTTGCAATTTGAAAGGATGGCTGGTGCATAGCTAAAATGCAAACCCCATTCTCTTTGTCATTAACTAAAAGGGGCTGGAGTGTAGATTGTGGCAATAACTGTATCCCATTTTCTGAGAAATCAGTTAATAGCTACAGTGCTGCCAAGCTAGCAATCTCGATGTTTACATCTGGCATTTAGAAGAGTCCCCAAGAGGTGATTCAGTGGCAAGAATGCTCACATGTAGCTGTCTTTGTCACAGAAGACACAAGCTACTCTTGCTTGTACAACAGTTCATGAGAAGGCCAGGCTGTTTGGATCTGTCCTTAACCCAACTTCCAGTCGCAATTCTCCAGACAGGGTCAGTGCTCTGCACCATCCATGCCAGCATCTGGACCCCTGTTAAATAAATAAAGCAGACTCTGAACTGTAAATGAAAGGACATTTTAACTGTGTTAAAGGAAAAGCAGCCCATTTTATATAAAATTAAAGCGTAAGCGAACATATGGCATAGTTTCTTTTTGCCTTTCCAGAAAACATTATGTTGATTATACCTTCAATTGTCCAATCTGGCAACCCCTCCTCAGCCCGCGAAGCTGTTTGGCATTCCACAGATACAATCTAGGAGTGCATTAAGCAGATTTTGCACATTATAATTAAAAACTTTCTGATAATACAATAAAATGCAATAAACACTAATGCTTAATTTCATTAGAGGGTTAGTGTTTCTTGATTCAATAATATCTGGATTGCTCATTTCTCATTTCCTTTAAGCACACATTGACCTAACCCATTGATAATTTCCTCTATGGGGGGGGAAAAAAGCACTGGCCCTTTGTCAATCAACACAACACAGGAACATCTATCGTTTTCCATGTAAACCTGAAAAATTGGGAAGTGGCTTGTCAAGTACCTCTAAGAAGATTACAGCAATTGCAGTGTGCTCCATTCGTCTGAGATAAAGAGGGCTCCTAATGAATCGTTACTCATTATCTAGAGGCCATGTTAATTTTCCTTAGTCCATCCAATTAATGTGTTTTTGTAACAAACATTTATAAAACTTAATTTTCAGATCCTGTCAGATAGGCATCAGGGGACACTGTGGGCTTTATGGGAAGATGGCTGGGGAGATTTGTACACCTCTGGCTGTTTGTTTGTGTACTACAAAGGCCCAAGAATGAAAATTGGGTTGTATTGATTCTAATTAGGGAAACATTAAATAAGACTTACCCGGAAACAGCGCTGTTGGCTATTCTATTTGCTGAATGATGGGAATGGGCAGGCTCCTGCTGAATTGCTCTGACCTGCAAGTCAAGAAGCCGTGACTTGGATAAAACAGGTTGTATGTTTTTCTCCTGTGTGAAAAACACAAAATCTAGAATTGCAACTTAATTTGGTTGCATACTTGTGCCCTTGACTAATACATATTCTTCTAGTTCAGAGATTCTAGCTTCTTCAGAGGGACAAAATCAAAACCTCTCCCAGTATAATCAGAAATGCAAGGTTTTATTTCTATGATCTGTTAAATAAACAAATGTCATCCTTTTCAAATCCTGTAAGCTGAAAAAAGAACCTAGAAATTGTGGGTTTGAGAGTATTTCTACCCAAATATTAATAATAATGTCAAGGACTTGTGACTGTTTTAAATAAATATAATTCATATATCCATATTGGTGCACTTTAAAATATAATTTCAAGGTTGCCTGAGCAAGACCTGAACAAAATCAAGCTAGTCAATATTCTAGTATATAGTTTTTTTTTTTTCAAAAATGTGCTAGGTACATCTTTAATAAGTCTCTTCCTTACTTATCTGTCCCAAAGAATGCCATGTATCATTTGGGCTTGAAAGAGTTAAAAAACAAAGTAGAAGGCAAATGTGTAACAAACACACTTGAAACTTTGGCTCTGTCCACAAAACCATCCCCTAGACTCCTGATGTTCTAGAAAGATATTACCTACGACTCTTAAATATGTGAATTGGTTTTTGCCCATTTGTATCTCCTCACATAGGAGAGAGAATCACATCTAAAGCTACATGGAGAAATTGAAAACCAGGCCAATGAGAAAAATCATTCTGTTAGCCAGGCTTTACAGCCTGTCCATAAACCCTCACATGCCCCTGAGCAGTAAAACACATCCGATGAGAAGCTTTCCATTTGTCTCTAGTGTTGACTTTATGAAGATTTCAAAAGCATAGATCACAAATTTCAGACAGATAAATCTGAAGCAGAGAATGAACTGAGGACAACAGATGAAAGCAGAAGATTAAAGAATAAGGTGCTTGGAGGAGAAAATGCTGTATCGTATAAGCAGGGTCGTTTTTATGGGCACAGATATTGGCTATATTTGGAGGGTTAGCTTGGTACATGAGGAAAGTGGGAAGGAGGGCAACTCCTATTTAATGCATCCCAAGGAGATAGAGTTATATAGTCAGTAATTCATCCTGGCAGAAGGGCTCTGACCTTTGACTATTCTTTAAAGCAATTAAAACAATTAATGACTTCCATGCCTACTAAGACTATGTGCATTCATGGGTCTTTGCTTTCTGCATTAGTCCATATTTCACTGTTTTCCAGTGGGCTTTTATTTTGAAACTGTTGTGTGCTATTTAATCTGCTTCCCCCGATCCCACTTAAGAATCAGAGAGTGAACCCAAGAAGCATCTAACTTTTCTTGACTGTTTTCTATAAAAATGCTCATAGCAGGACCAAGTCTTCCTTGCAGAAAACCAGGCAAAGAAAGGGATGCTTTGCATCATGAACAGTAACTTCTTTCTTGCTGTGATTTTTACCTACACACTGCTTAAGGCACACAGATTGAACCATGAGGGAGCATGTGTGTTTTATTGGAGGCTGGTACAATTATTTTCTAAAACACAAACTACCTTAGGGTTTGTTAAAGTAGGTGACTATGTTAGTGATCCTGTAGTTCTCTGCTTTGACCCCACAGATAACAAGATTGTCTCGCATTTGTTGGTGGCTGAACCAGAGAAGATCTATGCCATGCCTGACCCTACTGTTCCTGACAGTGACATCAAAGCCCTCACAACACTCTGTGACTTGGCTGACCGAGAGTTGGTGGTTATCATTGGATGGGCAAAACATATTCCGGGTAAGTTCTCTGAAAATCCAAAAGAAAAACAGAGGCTGCAGTTGCCTCCAGGTTCGTACCATAGGAGAAAAATATACCTTTTTATTTTGGGGTTATTTCTTAACCATCACTCTGCTGTTTGTATTTAATTCAGTATTCCTTGTCTTGATGCTGAGCATTAAATAGTGATGACCATTCTGACTATGAACTATGCAAATATTTTATATTTGAGGGCACTAGTTGCTACTACTATATAAAGACTGTATAATCCATAAAACTATTAGTTATATTAATAATTCTTATCTTATTCCTGATTAAAGTAATTCTATATGTTTTTATTTTAAAATATTATTTTAAGCAGCAGGATAATATCCCACTTGCTTCTAAGAACATCCACCTTGTTCTTTATCATTGACTTTCTCTTTATGATCACAAATTTTACATTAGTTTGCAATTAGATATTTATGATGAATCTAAATACAAAATTAAACACTAGCATAAGATGGTAGATTTTCCCATTTGCTGATTTCAAATTAGTGTTTTCTTACATTTCTTTTTTGAGCCATCCTATAATAGCAAGAAGTATGCCTGGACACATAATTTGAAAATGTTAGTATTGTTGTCTGAACTCAGTTTCATTTCTTTGGACTTTCATTTTTAAATAGTTCATAAAGAAGTTTTCGAATGGTAAGAAATGCTTTTCTAGCACACACAGTTAACTTATTTCCGTCTTCTTAAACTAGTTTGTCTTTATGCTTTGAATGCTACAGTAATTTCTTTAATCAAATTGATGGAAGTCCCTTTCCCAGCCCACACTGAAACCAATTTATTGGTCATGATACGCCAGCCATGTCGCTAACAGTCGTAACGAACTGTCAGGCAGTATAGCAGTGAAGCTAATTTGAAGTCATTAGGTGTGCAGCGTTCAGGCAACAATTTGTTACAGTGGTTAGGGACACAGCTGACATTTCTGAATAGCTTTGTTCAGGGCAGTTCTAGATGAGACCAAGCAAATTGTAAACTAATTTAAACATCACTCTGTATTATACCGGCTACTTTGTCTTACACTGTTTGCTAATAAAGCTCTCCAAATTAAGTCAGAACTAGTTAGTTAAATGGGTAACTCGAATGTATGCTTTGGAAAACACCCACACAAGAATAACAATATCTAAAAGAACATGGTTTGGTCCTGTGGCTACATGATGCTGTATTTAGATTACAGTCACACCTATGTGGATTATCTAAAAAGATGTGTGGAGAAAGAACACATAAAGCATCAGATGGCTAAGTGCGGTGATCTAGCATTTGGGAGGCTGAGACTGGAGGACTAGCCTTGACTGTGGAATGAGAGTCTATCACAGGGAGGAAAAACCGGGTAACAGATTTGTCTAGATTGTAAATGAAAATTTCTTTGGAAAGAAGGTGCTGTTGCTGGGCGGGTTATAGCAGAGAGACAAAATTAACAGTTTTTGAAAATGTGTCTAAGGACACATTTTTTTTAGATAATCAACATAGATCATACATGTGGTATGCCATTGTTTCAGATACCTATTCACATTTTTTTGCTATTTTAATTGTTTTAATTTAAGTAAAATTCCATCACTTCCCCCACTCCCTTACCCCTTCCCAATTACCATCCTTTGATCTCTTCCTATGCCTCCTACTTTCAAGTAAATGGCCTTTTTCTTTATTATCACACACACACACACACACACACACACACACACACACACAATACATACACACACACACCTTAAATATAATTATTCTAACACATGGTTTCTGTGGATATTTGGTACTGGAAAATTCTGTTTATTATAGGATACTTGAGGGCATCCTTAGCTTTTACCCATTAGATGCCAAGAGTACCCTTAAAAAACAAGTGTTCTCAGACACTGCCATATGATGTCTGAGAACCCTACCCCAGCCCTCCCTATTGAGAACCATAGTCCAATTCAGTATATTTATTCTCCTCTATTCAAGGACAGAGAGATTTGTGGCAAAGAGAAATACAAGCACTCCTATAAGTTCACAGATGTTTCTAGAACTTTCAAAACACATTTAAGCCCAGTGTGACTCAGAACACCAGTGCCAAGACCCAGGACCAGACAGGTTGAGATAGGTCAAGTGCCACCATTTGGAGTAGCCTGGGCTACATCATGTATCTCAGATCAGTCTGTGTAAGAGTAAGACTGTATCTCAATTCAATAGCATATTTATGGAAGCATGCCTATATTCATTCCCCAGCAACCATGTAAAAGCCAGGTGTGGTGGCACATGTCTGTCATCCTAGCCTTGGAATGTGGAGAAAGGGGGATCTTGGGAAATTTCTCACTAGTCTCACTAAACCAGTGGCTTCAGGTTCAAGGACAGAATCTAGCTTCAAAACAACAACAACAATAAAAACGGTAGGGAGCCATAGAGGAAAACACTTGGCATTGCCCTCTGGCTCCCATGCCCCCTGCCATAAACACAAACAGACAAACAACATCTATGTGAATCCTGCCATCAAATGCCAGATCATCTATCATTCCTGTGAACTCCGCTCAAGTCTTCCTGAGTTAAGAGATTAAGGTAATATTTTGATACCATCCAGGATTGTCACAATAAAGACCAGCTTTCAAAAAAACAAAACAAACAAACAAACAAACAAAAAAAACTCCTCCCAACTCCCAAGCCCTGTGGTTAGGAAAGGTCAGAGGTGACTTTGCAGCCCTGATTGTGCATCTGAGTGGAGATGAGGGCTTACAAAGCAGTGTGCCAGAGTCACAACCTGAGTGACTTCGGTAAAGATGGTAACTTTAAACAACTCCAAGTAGTGTCATTTCCAGTGTTGGGAACAATGAGCATGTGGTTATGTGCCCAGTCATAAGCAGCAGCTTCGAATTGGAGAGGGCTGACATTCTCTCTCCAGAGTGAATGGAGTATCGGTCACTGTGGAATGATGCCCCATGGCTCTCATTTTTCTAATGCTCAGAAGGTACTTCAAATGATTACAAAGAGAACTTTAGGGGATTCGAGAAAAACAGGAACTCACTGAAGTCTTTCTTAAGTAATTTTTTTTTCTTTTTCTTAACAATAAGCATGCAGGGAATAGTGCAGGAAGCCCTGTGGCATCAAGACTTGCCTGAGTTCATCTGGGAACCACACATAGTCACATGGGGCATTGGATGGGAAGGTGGAGGCAGAGAGAGCATAAAAGAGTGAAGTCACATGCCTGCCTTGATCAAAGTAAAATTGTGTTCTCCATGGGGAGCCAGTCTTACTGAGTGGGTAGGGAGTCACATTACAGCTAGAAGTGAACTGAAACTCCCCTTTGGTCTTAACCTTACAATTTTCCATGTAGCATGTTAAAAAGTAAAGTGAGCTTATACACTTACAATGCACTCATACACTCAATGCACTCACACACATGTGCATGCACAGGAAGATACACACGCGCGCGCACACACACACACACACACACACACACACACACACACACAGATTCATGCCTTTGCGATCGTCACTCTGTTCTTCGATTGTGTAACCATACACTCATTGGCATGCTCCAATCTTTGCACCTTAAGTGGGGCCAGCTCCCTTCTGTGCCACTACAAACACACTTTAGTTCTCTTTCTTTAGCCTCATGAAAAGTGATGGAGTCTACCAAAGAAAATATTGGAGGAAAATAAACTGAGAGTGAGGGGGGTTTCTCAGCAAATAGAATTAGTTGAGTTGCATTAGGAAGCCACATGAATGGGAATGTGTGCTGTTATGAAATATTACCACACTTATCTATAGAAAAAAAAAAACAAAAAACAAAAAACAGGGACTGCAAGGGCCTCGGAAAATGCTTGACTTTAGCTGGAAGAGTGTAAGGGCACAAGAACAGATGATGGTACCCTAATAGCCCTTTTTGAGAATGACAGGCCCTGCCATTAGCATCCCTTTATACCCTTGGAAATTGCTCATGCCTCGCTTTTCTGCTTCCTATCTGCCTGGCTCTTTTTTATTTCTCTTTCAATTTCGTCCGCGCTCGGATAAGCGCATGCTAACACAATATGATTGAGCTGTAAAATGGAACGCTGTCGCCTCTAATCTCTTTTATGTAGATATGGAGGTTCTGCACACTCCACTTCATTCCCTCTCCATTGTTGGCCTTTTTTAGAACAGGCTGCCAAGTAACGGAGGCTCCATCAGACAGCGGAGCTTGGTTTCACAGGGTGTGATAAGACGATTATCAGCCCAACAGGCAGATCTGGAATTGTTCTTTGTGGCCGATTAGGATATTATTATGTCCTGGAATTTCGTTAGCAAAATACAGCATGGGCTTGGCAGGTGGTACTTAAAAAGCCATAGCCCATATTAGCTGACCTATGTAAGTGCCTCTTACATTTGAGGATCTTGTTGGCCTCCTACTCTAAAAGAGCAGGACAGTGTTTGAACAATGAAGCTCATGGATGTGGTATAGAGTAGTTTAGAAGAAAATGTGCAGACTTTCAGACCATCCTGTCTCCATCTCCTTTTGAAAAACTGAATTAAACCAATCAGTTTGGTTTTGCAGCAGAGGGGCTCAAAGCTGGACCTTGCTCATGTTAGGCAATGTTCTCCAATTGACTTGTGCACCCCACTTATCTTGAGCTTCACTTGTTTACAACAAGACAAGCAGATTATCCTTTACCAAGGAGGACTTGGCTCAACTTTGGGAACATTTCAGTTGGATTGTTCTAAACAGGATTTTTTTTTTATTTATGTGAATGAGTGTGTGCCTGTGTAAATTAACTTGCACTGTGTGCGTGCAGGGTTCCACAGAGGTCACAAGGGGAAGTTGGAGTCCATGAAGTTAGAGTTACAGCTGTTGGTGGACTGCCCATTATGGGTGCTGGACACTAAATCTGGGTCCTCTGCAAAAGCAACAAGTCCACTTAACTGCTGAATCCATGTTTCCAGACCATTCTGTCCCATTCTTAACACCCTGTCTGACATAATGATGACATCAGACAAAATTGAAAAGAGCCCCGTGACTTTGCTTCAGCCAA